TAGGTAACACCTTATTTCACCCTTTGAGAGGTGGAAATTCTCAAAATCCTATTTTAGTTAATGCCTAGGTAATAAAAGCTTCCTTTTCTTACGTAGGCATTAACTAAGATAGGATATTTTTTTGTATAGGATAGGGTGACAAACGAGCACACAGTCCACCTGATGGTAAGTGGATGCTGTGGCCCATAGATATCTACATCTATCCTCGATTACGAATCAAAATGCAGGTGCGTTGTCACTCTTGAGGACTAAAATGGAATGCCTCCATTCCAGTAAAACGGGTTTCCGGTCCTCTACACTCACCATACGAAACACAGCAACATTAAGCTGCTATTTTACGCTGGTATTCTGTGAGAGCGTGGTCCTTCCCCGGTCAAGCTGACCCATTCGTGCTACAACCATAATATAGCTGAAGCGTGGCTCTACCACGTATAAAGGATTATGAAAAATATATAAATATATAATAAATGATACTCACAATTTAATGCTTCTACGTTTGAGTTTGAGTCTGCGCTTTGAACTGTCAATCATTTCAGCCTATTAAAGTACGGCTTAACATAGACTTCCATTGCCACGATTGATTTGCCACTGTTGCCACGCTTGGCAAGCGGGTCGACAACCGCAGTATTTTATTTTCAGTCGTTATTAGGAAGACGCTGCTGCTAATCTCCTGATTTGTTTCCCTCTGTCGCCACTTACGACACCCAAGGGATGTGATATGATATGGGATGATATGAGGTATTGGATATTATTACACCGCCACTACATGGTAACGCCCACTCTTCTTACTAAGGATAAAATTTTCCAAAATTATTTCTTAGTGCCCTACGTCATACAAGGCAGCTACTGACAGATTTTTATGTCTAGCTTTTTGGGATATGCGTATTAATATAATATTTTACATAAAAACCTTGCACCCACTTTTAAAGACCCTAAGAGTAGATTTTTGAAGAATTTGGTTACGTTAGATGCAGTGCGATTTACCATCTAAGGCTACATCACCACTTACCACCAGGTGGGGTTGTGGTCAAGCACTGTCTTATAATAAGTAAAAAAGTGAATTTTATTATTTTTAATTCCAGAGTGTATGCAATAATTTTCAAATTAAAAAAAAAAGATTAATTTTTCTATGTTTCCGTGGGGTAATGGGTTGTTTTCAAAAAACGCTTAATCCGAATTCACTTATTTCATTACAGAGTACCTCTATACTTACTTAAGTAAGTATTATTAAGTCAATCGTCCAGTAAAATAAAAAGTTTCATACATACTGTAACACCCTACTTCACCCCCTTAGAGGTTGAATTTTCCTAAATCCTTTCTTAGTGGATGCCTACGTTATAAAAGGCAGCTACTTGTCCAATTTTCAGATTTCTATGTATAGCGGTTTCGACTGTGCGTTAGTGGATGAGTCAGTCACTCAGGGAATTCTCTTTTGTATATATGTATAGATAAGGAAGCACAAATAAATATTAACTGCTACGATACACATACTACATACTTAATAGTAAATAGCTTTGTTTTATTATGTCCTGCAGTTGTCGATAAAGAGCTGATGATGAAGTTGTCCTGCACCTTATGTATTTAGCTTAGTTAAAATAGGGCCCTAATAATACTATTATTGATCGAAGAGGGCCCTAATTTCATTTTTGCCCCGGGGCCCTTGGTGACTTAGCTACGCCACTGGTAAGGAGTTCCAGAGTCTTACTCCAAGAACAGCAAAAGATTTATCATAAGATGTCGAGGAGTGTACAGTAATATATTAACAGTAATTTAACTAGGTAACTTTAACTAGGAAAAAATACCGACAAACTGAGAACCTCCTCTTTTTTCTGAAGACGGTTAAAAGTAGATAAGTATTTTTTCACAGTGTGTGAATTGAATAATCTTTTTTATTAATTTTAATTTTATTATTTTCGATATCGACTTTCAGCTATTAAAGGTAACAATAAGTACTAATGTTTACGATAAACGTACAAAGGGAAAGAAAGGGATAGAAGCATTAGAATTGTCTAATAATAGAACGAGACTTTTCCAAAAGACATCAACGCGCGACTCAACCATGTCGGTATTTACCCGGCCACCGTTTTAAATAGACCCCAGCGGTGGCTCATAATCTGAATTAATCAACAATAATTTTCATGTTTAAAAATATATAAGTAAACTTAGCAATGAAAAGTTACTCCATTCTTTTTGGAAATCTGTCCTGGGATGTTTCCCATACCGCTTCACCGCGCATGAAGGCATTTTGATGCATTATAATTGCATAAAAAATTTGCATTAATTTAGCGTGCACATAGGTCTAACACTTGGACAATACTAAAATGGTTAATAGTACCATAGCATATGCATAGGTGACAAAATACTAATAGTTTTCGAGCGTCGGGGCATTGTACGCGCAGTCAAGTGGTTATATAGTCTTTCGCTTTAGATATATCCTAATGAAGTTTTGTCGATTCGTTACTCAATACCGCGTGAAAGAAGGACAAGTCAACAAACACACTTTCGTATTTATAAAATTAATTATGTAGGGATATAGGTTAGAGATTCAGTAAGAAAGTATGAAAAGGCTTAGGTCATGTTGAAAACACATTTCGTGAATTCGCATTTATTTTTGTCTTACAAAAAATTACAAGCAATAAGATTAAGAGTGTGGTCGAAGAGTTTTTGTGTTCTTTTGCGGCAGGTCTTGTAGAAGTTAGCTCCGAACGCATGGACAGTATCCACGAGCTTTTCATTTATATCGTCCACTTCATTGCAGTCTTCTAGGCACTGAAAACGATTGTGTAACTCGAGCTGAAAGTTTTCAGGACTCTGGATTAGAGTCCTGAAAGTCCTCCAAGGGAGGCAAAGCGTTGACTTCTTTAGACACCCTCTTTAGTACCTCAAATTAATTAGCAAGATCCTCCGTTATGCCGAAAATATTGCAGCATTAATTTTGAAATAAATATATGGTAAAGTCGAGGATTAATGTTAAGTACTAAGTTAGACGAAAACACAATTCCGTAAAATTTTCTCGATAGAAAAAAAATCAAAGTTACCTCCAAACCGAACAATAAACCGCTGGTATTCACAAAATACTTTAAATTAGATCATAAAACTTTGCATACCAACTGAACTTTTTATAAAGTAGGGCTTATGTTTTTATTTTTTTTAATTATCATCATTTTCACTGTAAAAAGAAATTACCTAAACTATCGGCGTCCTGAAGCATGTTCCCTGTCGCCCGATACCTCAGCTCAGTCTAACTTCGGCTTTCGAATGAGAAAGTTGTGTCGCTTACGATCAGAATAAAAATTACGCAACAGGACGACGTAATATGGTAATGGGAAATAACCGTAATAAAAATAAAAAGCGGCGTAAAGAAACAGACATAAATATGATAAACCTAATGAAATAAGTATCTAACGACCTATTTACTTACAGTATTAGTGACTGCAAACATGTCGGTAGAGAGCATACTACGCACGGGGAAGTGGGGGCGAAATTACAATTTGAGCTGTAGTAGTATAGGCCCTTAATGCTTAGGTTCAGTGTGCCTCTCACCATTCGGTGATCGCTGCCAGTTTTCACCCTCACGATTACTCAACGGTTGGCGTCTGGTCGTCATAATGAAGTCGATCTCATTTTTTATCGAACCGTCGGGGCCTAGACCAGGTCCGGTTTCTATGGACCGCTTCTCGAAGAAATAGTTCATCATAAAGAGTCCTTCATTCTCCATGAAGTCGTCCAGCTTCTGGCCCCTTGGGTTCTGTTGCCCTCTTCTAAAGTTTCCTACCTTAAGCCCACCGTTTTCTCTTGTGCCTAGTTTTGTGTTGAAGTCTCCCATCAACACCGTGTAGTGGGTTTTGGAGGAATGCATAGCTCTAGAAATATCCTCATACATTTCTGACTAAACTAAATAAAAATTTATCAAGTAATTTATAAGTACAAACAAACAGATAATCGCTTATAAATGGTTAACGGTATAAAATATTCAGAAAGAAAAAAACAGAGAAGGTGTATATAAATATATACCGAAAAATAATATTTCATTCCCATTTCGGTAAATCTAGGTAAGCCAAACATAATAAATCACGATACAAAATAGTAATGTCACATCTCTGACTCGCGCTCGACTCCTGCGAACGTGTTCTTGGAAATTTACGTACGCGACAATATTGTTTATTGTCTATACTATAAATCCATCACTGCTTTTAGCTGTCGTACTCGTAGACATGAACTTACAGACATGAGCTTAAGAATCAATGGATATTGAAATGTGAAAACAATTAAGAAGGAATGTAGTACAGGAGGTGAATAATTTTATTTAGTATATTTAATTCAACATTATTTAAAACAAACAACATAAGTACTTTAAAAAATTAAATTTTATCCCTTTATTTGAAATTGTCTTCAAAACACCATTTTTACGTCTCTGCGTCCGAAATAATAAACGCTCCTCGCGCGCTTGTGGCCTACGAGTCACATGTGCGGCGACAAGGTCATGCCCTTTTACGACTTCTATTGCCTTATTATTTAGATTTTTGTGCGAGACTCTCATCTTCTCTTCGTGATAAGAATTCATACTTTATTTTCCACCATATAAAGTTATTATTTACGGAATAAAACTTTTACTTAAATACTTTCTAGACTAATTAAAAACTGAATCATACTTAATCTACTAATTAATATTATGGATCATGATTTGGTTACAAATAACTTTTTTTGAGGAAGTTTGGCTATCTCTTTAATTTCTCTTTTGTTAAGCAAATGTTGTTATGTAAACTTAATCTTTTCAAAAAAGCAAATACACGTTACATTTTTATAATCAGTCAAAGTTAAAAAGAATAGGCTACAGGTCTTAGAGCCCAAGTATTAAAACCCTGAATCATCATCAAGAGGAAGTAGGTCTGTCGAAGTGGTGGTAGGGATTTTTGTTTCTCTCGAGAAAAATATTAGAAAAATAGTATATTCTAATTCAGTAAAATTCATATAATTATACACTGTTTTTATATTTTCAGGTGCCCAGTAATGTTTTGACATGCCCAGCACAGCAGTTTCGCGCGACATCGCATCAGCATCGCCTACTAATCCCAAAACATATGAGGATGCATTGGCAACTGTAAGTATTTCAAAAAATCTATAACCTAGAACCACTCTTTAAATGTGGGCATTCATTTCCTCGTGGTAGTCATTTGTGGTTTTTGATTGAAATGCCAGTAACGCGTTCTCCACAAAGCCGTATTTTGCAGAACCTGCGTGGCATATTATCAGACGGGCCCCCTTACCCATTGGTACTTTCGACGTCGACGCTTGTGTATCATCCGTCCAAGAACGGGAAACCGTGTGATTGGCGTTAGCCATGTCTCGTCAATGAACATGACATTATCCCAGTTATCAATATTTTTTGCTTCTCTCAAAAAACTTATCCGTTTTAAAATTATGTCGTATGTTTAATAATTTTTCTTTTAGATCTTTTATACGAAAAACCAATATCTTTTAAGATTTTGGTTAAAGCGGTTTTACCCCCGCTAAACAGTCCAGCTTCTCTTAACGATGCCAAAAGCTTCTTCCTGTTGAGATATTCATTTCTGTAATAGTAACCATATATATGATTTCTGATTGCATCGGCGTCAAAGGTGTCAATATCAGTCACGCGTTTAGTTCTACGTTTCTTCTTCGGAGTACGAAAAATATTATCTTCCGTGCCAGTAGAGCCGAACTTTTCTTTATTAATATTTGTTATCGTTCGTTTGCTAACTCTAAGCGCCTGAGAGACGCGTTCTTGTACTTGTTCGACAGGTAACAGGGGTCCGCCATTTTGCCGCTCCCGCTCAAAGTAATCTTGCAGCTTGGGACTGCTTGCTTGCACTCACGGGCTCCACTTTTCAATGTTTGTCCACGTTTAGGCATTATTATGCACCAAAAGTAAAAAGAACGCAATACAAAACACAATCGAAGTCCGATTTAGCGCCGATGTCAGTTTGAAAAGCAGAAATAGTCCATTAAACGAAAGCCGGGTAATCAAATAAAAACAGATCGAAAACATGAAGAAGTTAGAAGACGACTGTTTTAGCGTCACAAAATGGCGGCCCATAACGCCATTTGGGGTTACCATTTTCAACCTAAATATAAAAATGCTACTTTCTTTTGCGCGTTCGGTTTGGTCGTAGTTTTATTTTTATATTTAATAAAAGTTATCTTATAGTCCATTACTTTCAAATTCTTAAAAAGAAAAACAAAACGTATTATTTTATAAAGTATAACTGTATAAGAACGGATTACGATACTGTTATTGCTTGTTATTGTTAGCACAGCACTACAAATATAAAGCGCTGACATAACCTTGTAATAGCGCAGTATAGATTTAGAAAAATATTGTTTACCAAGTTATTTGACACTCAGTTTGGCACAAAATTATAACATTAATTGATTATTGATATAATAATGTTGTTTTAATGCTCATCAATTGTTAAAACGGTAAACAACCAGCAAAAATATTTTTATCGTAACTGCAACGCCATTACAAAGTTACGTCGTCAGTTCAATCGCGACGTGTCAGAAACGCATTCTCTGAACGGCCGAACTATAATACCTGAATCTGAACGATAAAATATTACAAAAACGTTAAAAACCTTATAATGTTTTTACATTCTTATGTAAAACTTATGTTATAAACTAAACTGATTACCTAAAATAAGTAACATTTACAAAAGCTTAAAATAATTATATAAAAGAAAGCAATTAATAGTTTTCGGTCTGATTGGTGCACTGCCTACTATTTTTTTATATAAGAATAAAGGTGACAAGCGATCTCATAGTCCACCTAATGGTAAGTCATCATACGGTCCACCTAGTATTCACCCATCAGATGACCTCTAAGCTCACTCTGGTACATTACTGATATGACCTTTGTTATGGACAATGGTGATTTATTTCAATTGCTTTCGAACATTCAATTGTGTAGAACACATCATGTAGCACTGCAAATTAAATTATAGAAGTGGGCCGTTGCTCGCAGACAATAGGTGGAGAAATCTAATTACGTCGGAGACAAGTAGTACATATTTATATTTTTGAGCGACTGAAGCCTGACCTAAAAGGTCGTGGTACAAAATTGCCATTGGTCTACCGTCGTAACACTCCAAACACAAGCCTTTAGCATAGCCGAAGCGAATGGCGAAGCCATGCTACACTTTTAACGTGGCTCTAGTATAGGTAGGCAGCAGCTCATCCGGGGAGGAGGTATATGCTGGCACAGATTACCAGGGTGAAATAGCACCATTTGCTACCGTGTTTCGTTTGGAAGTGTGACTAGAACCCGAGACGTATACGATGGTAACAAGACATTTCATCCTAGTCCTCAGCGGTCACAACACATCTGCACATTGATTTTAATCGACGGTAGACGTAGGTGTGGTTGGGACACAGCAATTATTTACCACTAAGTGACTGTCCTCGATTGATGACTTTCTTGTTTACAAAATATAATAGGAAACAAAATACTGTTTCAAATAATAAATCACACAAATTATTAGAAAATTCTTCTGATAATTTGTGTAATTCATATATCGTTTTTACGGAAAGGATGCTACCGCTATATTAGTAGTATAGTTGTAGTACACTTTGACAGAATACCAGCATAAAATAGCAGCTCAACGCTGCATCTTTCGTATAATAAAGTGTTGTAGACCGGAGACTCTTTGCTGGAAACGAGGCATGCCATATTAGTCCTCACGGATAACAACGCATCTGCATTTTAGTTCTAATTGAAGACATATGTAATTATCTATGTGTCACAGTTAGTACTTTTAGCACTTTGTTAGGACTGTGTGCTCATTTGTCACCTATTCTTATATAAAAAAATACCGAAGAAGGGAAATAATATAAATACTTAAAATCTCATTAAAATAAGACACATTTAAAACTGGTTTTATTTAATTACATAAGTAGGTCTTAACTGCTAAAATGAGATTTTAACTACCTTTAAATTATATATGACACGGTCTTAATTTGGTCCTGCATGAATGTACTTTTAGTTTTATCCATATAAATGCTGTTCGTGTTTTGGATTATTTAATTGCACGTGTTCTTTAAATTTACCTGCCTGTGTAACGACGTAACTTAAGCCGGGCTTCTATAATTAAAAACTCTTCTTGCTTTAATTTTTAGAGCAGAGAGTATGAAAGGGTATAAATGCACTTTGCATCTACTATAACATACGAGGCGTTTAAATTTGTTTCATTTAAGTCACCAAAAGCATAAGTTGCCAGAGTAAAGAAATCAGAATAAATAGATTAATTACTATTTTATACGGTACTACTACCAATTGTGAATCCCGGGCAAGCAACACGATTTCTTGGATTGTTGACGTGATTGTGCCTACACTGGACTGTATCGATAACCCACCTCTGGTATTACTGTAACATATACTCATCAAATGTAACGCTTAAATGCGTTACATTTGATGAGTATATGTTAGGGTTAATTTTGCATATTGCGTTTGTTTGTTATTTGTTGGGATTTGGCTACAGTTACAGGTACAGAAACGGAAACGTTTTTATTCAATATAGATTATAAATAATACTTATTACAAGTCACTTTTCTTAATTTACTACACTGGTTCGGAAAAGAAGAAGGAAGAACCAGCAAGAAACCCAACGTGACTTTTTATATAAAAGCCTAAAATCATGTATATTACAATTAAAAACACAAAACACATTAGAAATAGAAATAGCTCCGTAGCGATCACCTCTCCCAGGGGTTATCTTCATCCATAAATTTTGTACACCTTAAAGTGCAGGTGCAGGCACACCTTAAGAATGCCGAGGCCACTTGCCATTAAGGGAACTGCTTGTTGTTATTACAAACTCTACAATTTTACTTGATGTGCTATTTTAATTATGTGTGCTGTTTTCGAGAGTCGTTACGAATCGTCTCGCACGCAGATTCGACGACTTTCAGCCTCCCAAACAAGCTGGTTTCCGAAAAGGCTTCAGTACCATAGACCACATACATATCCTGCGGCAGATTGTACTGAAGACGGAAGAGTAAAATCTGCCACTTTGCCTGGCGTACGTGGACTATGAGAAAGCGTTTGATTCCGTCGAAATTTGGGCTGTGCTACAGTCCCTTAGGCGGTGCCAAGTTGATTGTCGGTATATCGAAGTGCTGAAGTATTTGTACAGTAGGGCTACGATGGCTATCCGCGTACAGAAACAGTGTTCGAAACCTATCCAACTGCAGAGAGGTGTAAGACAGGGTGACGATATATCTCCGAAACTCTTCACCACTGCATTGGAAGAAGTTTCCAAGCTACTGGACTGGAAAGGATACGGTATTGACATCAATGGCGAGTACATATTTCACCTTCGATTTGCCGACAATATAGTCCTTTTGGCAGAGTCGCTGGAGGACATAAGCACTATGCTCAGTGACCTCAGTGGTGTCTCCCAACTCTCTCATCTCTTAAGATGAACATGGACAAAACAAAGATCATGTTTAATGTCCATGTCACACCTATGGCGGTAGATGTTGGGAGCACTATGCTCGAAGTTGTTGTCAAGTACGTTTAACTCGGCTGGGCAGCGTCCGGGAAATTACGACAATGCCAGTGATAACTTACGGATCTGAGACGCAGTCCTTCACTGCTGGTCGTATGAGGACGCTCAAGGTCGCTCAGCGAGCTATGGAGAGGGCTATGCTCTGGATTTCGCTGCGTGATAAACACAGAAATGAACATATCCGCAGTGGAACCAGGGTGACCGACATAGCCCAACGGATTAGTAAGCTGAAGTGGCAATGGGCAGGCCATATAGCTCGAAGAACCGATAACCGATGGGGAAGAAAGGTTATCGAGTGGCAGCCTCGTACCGGTAGGCGTAGTGTAGGGCGACCCCCCCACTAGATGGAGTGACGACCTGGTAAGACATGCAGGAAGTCGATGGATGCAGGTGGCTCAGGGCCGTGGTTTGTGGCATTACTTGGGGGAGGCCTATGTTCAGCATTGGACTTGTGAAGGGCTGTAATGAT